TTTTTTAATTAAAATTTCAAATAGTTGAATTTTCCAATAATCTTTCACAAATTAAAAAAATCATATTTAATCTCAGACATTTTAGAATTATGTTTAATATATATTTAATGAAAGTATTTTTTAAAAATCTTAAAATGTTTTAAATAATGTAATGTAAAAACATCACCACCCACAAAATATTAATATGAACTATTACAACAAAATGCCTATTGTGTATAAGATACTGGAAGAACATAGAAATAGATGAAATGTGTTCCTTCTTGGAGACTCTTATAATCTAGAAAAATGAACAGATTCTTTTTAGACACTAAGCTTCATAAGAACAAGCATCAAGTCTCTCTTTTTTACCCCTATATGCCCAGAATGTAGCACAGTGCTTGACACATAGTAGCTCAGGATTTATAGTCAGTAGGTGGAATAATGAATGAGCAAACAAGCATCCCTTAAACAATGTACTTTTAAAGTAAACAGTGATGTATTGTTCAGTAGCAAATGCAGGGGAAATCATAAAATTAAAGAAGAAAAGAGAGAAAGCTATGAATTGAGGGAAGGGGAAAAGTTAGATTATTTGTGAGCCTCATGAGAACAAGCATCAGATCTGTCTTAGTAACTAAAGTAATGACGTTCAGTCCTCTTCTAGTTTCATGAATTTTATTTGAAACAGTTGTTACCTGAAGTTTCTCCATGGATTCCATTGCCCTGCTAGGTATAAATGTGGCCTTTGTTTGGAGATTCGTCAAAGCTGGCAGGGAGCCCTGCAGGGTCCGAATTTTCATGTCGAGTAACGGCCGTTGTGTGAACTGTGTGAGGATGCTTTTTGATGTTAGTCCTTGCCCTGGCAGTCAGATAATTAAGAGCTTGTGGGGTAGATTTCTGATGAATCAGAATAATGTCTTTTTTAAAAAAAATTTATATGAAGAAACAGACAGTAGCAATCTCCTTATGGGTACACCTTTATATATTTTAATAGTAAGATGGACAAGTTAGGCCCTCCACTTCGAACTGGAAGACATGTGCAAAGGTTGTATGACAGTGATACAAAATCAGACAGTGCCATCAAAAGACATGAGTTATTACCCATTTCCAAGTAAGTATTTGTAACTCAGTTTGGTTAATCTTTTTCAGATATTTCCTTAAAGGCTTTCTATAATGGAATATTATAAACTTGTACATCCCTGTACTTAAAAAATCTTATTTTAATGATTTTTAATCCAAGAAGTGCTAAATAATCTTCTAGGATTTAAAACACTTTGATTTTTGGTAAACATTTCTCATCTGAAATAAAGCTGTTTTTAGATCAGACATTTTATTCCATTAAATTTTAATTTTTAGAGGGTTGAAATAGTAGTGACCTTCAATAATCGTTAGTTTTATGAAAGTTTTTTTTTTAGGAGTAATCTTTTTGGAAAGAAGAGTATAGGGAATATTATGCCACATATATTATTTAATACTGCTGGATTATCTTTTAGTTAAGCACACGGTGAATTATTATAAAAAGGCAGGAAAAAAAGAGATCTTGGAAAACATTCAAACATTGATTTGTGGCCTAGCAAACTGAGAAGAGATTGTGGCAATGGCAGTCATTTTGGAGCTCTTCCACATAAGTCTTCAAGGTTTACTAGTTTGGGCCTCAATACCAAGTCTGGCCTTGTCATTTTAAAATGATGAAATTAGAGTCTAGTAAATTACTTACTAAAGTTGAAAAATATATTGTTAAACATAGTTCACTTAGTTAACTTTTAAACTAAGTCCTACTGCAACATTCTCTTACCATGTATGAAAAGTAATAATAAATGTAACTAGATATCCAATAAAATAAAGGTGGAAGAAGTCTTGAAGATATTAGCAGCAGCCATGTGGGGTTCTTTTTGTTTGTTTGTTGTTTTGCTGAGGAAGAGTTGCCCTGAGCTAACATCTGTTGCCAGTCTTCCTCTGTTTGTCTGTGAGCTACTGCACAGCATGGCCACTGACAAGTGCTGTAGGTCTGCACCAGGGAACTGAACCCAGGCCACTGAAGTGGAACACACCAAACTTAACCACTAGGCCACCGGGGCTGGCCCAGCCATGTGTTATTTTAAGTAGTTAGGGATAAATCCTAGAAGGAAGAATTTGGGCCCTGAGCCATTTCTTTTGTACTACTACTGCTGTCTGTATGCTCTGAGGCAGATCTCAGAGAAACTTTGATTAGCAGTGAGGTAGATTAAGTGCAATTCCAAAATTAAACTTTCTTTTATTACTCTTGTACTATAGCAGGCAGATTGCAGATACAGAATAAGAGTAGCACTTTCCAGATTTTGGCCAGGAAGAAAAATGTGTGCACCGTGTGAGACTGGGGCAACATGTTTTAAGTACTATCAAGACAGTTCTTTTCAATTTCTTAAGACTAGTTTTTGACATTCAAATTCCATCTCTCAGAAGACATTACTGAAAATATGTGACAGACATTTACTAAAGGTGGCTGTTGTTTATAAGCTTATTTTCTTGTTATTTGAACAACTTTGAATTATTGATATGGTGAAGTTGTGTGTGTATATGCATGGGAGTGTTTGTATTATCTGCTTATCTCACGGACATATTATGTGAAGGTGATAGGATTTCTAACAAGACTTTGTTCTAGAGCCAAAAAATAAAAAAATGTGTCCTTCCTGTTCCTCTTATGACTCTCACTGGAGGAATTGCCATTCTTTGGCAATGATCTTTTAGAGACTGAATTTCTAAAAAGGCACTGTAGCAGTTCTGTGATGTCCCTAGAGGGGCTGTATAAAAGTACAGTAGATACACCTTAAAAATACACCTGGGGGCCTGCCTGGTGTTGTGCAGTTAAGTTCTTGCCCTCTGCTTCGGCAGCCCAGGGCTCACTGGTTTGGATCCCCAGCACAGACCTGCTCACGACTTATCAAGCCATGCTGTGGCAGCATCCCACATATAAAGTAGACAAAGAAGGACATGGGTGTTAGCTCAGGGCCAATCATCCTCAGCAAAAAACAGAGGAGGATTGGTGGAGAATGTTAGCTCAGGGCTAATCTTCCAAAAAAAAAAAGAGAAGAAAATACACCTTATAGATGGACTTGCAGTGTCCATTTGAAGAGGTCCAGGGTAACCCATCCCTGCACCGAGGTGATTCATTACTTGTCAAAGTTTAGAAATAATTTAAAGTAACTGTTCCAAGCAACCTCTCATTGAATGACAGTATTGCATTTTTGAATATAAGATTTATAATACGACCCACCTAAACTCAAGTTCAAGTACTGTGGCCATGTAATAGCTTTGCAACTTATTCTCTCTGAATATAAGTTTCTTCAACTTTAAAATGGGAATAATAACTTGTGATATTTTGTCAAGATGAAACAGAGTGAGGCATGTATAGTACCTAGCATTGTATTTGGCATTTGAAAAATAGATGTTGTTATTACTTCTCTGTATTTTGGAGATAGCTATGTAAAATTTTAGGAGACTCTCTCTCTACATTAGTAGAAGAGGAAGAATTTTAACCAAGTTTAAGAACTTCTGATCTAAAGGAACTTTTGAAACTGTTCTGCTTGTTCATGTATCACAACATTGCTTATCTCTGAAATGAAAAGATTTGACTAAATCTCTAAAGAGGGGGAGGGAACTAAAACTTTCTGAACATCTGACCCCAGGTTCAGCAACATACTGGCTGTGTCACCTTGGTAAGTTACTATCTCTGTTGCCTCATTGTAAAATGGAGTTATTAATTCTGCCTACTTCATAGGAATATGATGAGAATTAAATAAGTTTACATATGAAAGTAATTAGAAATGTAGCTATACCAAATGTAGTAAGCACCATTATATAAATGTTAACTTGAGTGGTAGCAATAGCCATAGTAGTAATAATAGTAGTATCATCGTCATCAACTATGCTAAATGTATAAATTGCAATTTACATCTCACACCTTCCTATGAGATAAATGATGGTCACATTTTATAAATGAGGGTACTTGGCCTCAGAGAGGTCCATCACTATCACAAACTTGGTCAGTAGCAGTTGGGATTCGAATCCAGATTCATCTGAATCCCAAAGCCTATACTTTTACCATCATACTATCGTATAGCCTTCTAAGCTTTCTTTGATTCCTGAAGTTTCGGAAAGAGAATTCAGTGATGATCAAACAAAACTCCTCCTCTACTGATACCAGATAGCCCAGGCTGTGTAGTTGGTGAAATTTAATCTTTAAGGAGAAAATTATATCAACCCATTTATTTTAGTTGCTATTTCCAAGAACAGACTTTCATAAATTTAATATTATTCTCTTAAAGTGGTTAGCTACTTTTTTTTAACCTCATCTCATATGTTCAACATATTATTTAACAGTTACTTGTAGGCATTTAATAAAACACATTTCTATTTTGAGAGAACTATAGATTTTAAACGTTTTGGGGACTGACCCCATAGCCGAGTGGTTAAGTTTGCGTGGTCTGCTTTGGCAGTGGGGTTCACAAGTTTGGATCCTGGGCATGGATCTCTGCACCGCTAATCAAGCCATGCTGTGGCAGCATCCCACATAGAAGAACTAGAATGACCTACAACTAGGATATACAACTATGTACTGGGGTTTTGGGGAGGGAAAAAAAAAAAAAGAGTAAGATTGGCAGCAGTTGTTAACTCTGGGCCAATCTTGCTCACCAAAAAAGCAAACCCTAAAAAAAAAGTGCAAAAAAAAAAAAACTTTAAAAAATTTGAAGGCTTGAAGCCTTTCAGAATGATTAACTTATAAATTTTGTGTAAAGCATATACACATATTTTAATTGATTTTATGTAACATTAGGATAATGTTAGTAAATGCAAAATGCTTTGGTTTATCCTTAATATTAGCTACTATTGTTTTCAGATTTAAAATAATTATTTGAATTTTAATCTTTTGAATTTACCTCTCTACAGTTTCTAATTATTTTTCTAATTATGCAACTAAGCAACTTGAGAAATAAATGCTTGCTATGCAATACTTTTTCATTATGCCATCTTTTTCTGTCTTCTAGAGCTAACATCAAGCCTCGAAATTCCACACCACCCAGTTTGGCACGAAATCCTGCCTCAGGTGTGCTTACAAGCAAAAGAAGAACATATACCGATAGCTACATAGCCAGGTATGTTTAACTCTGATATTCTAATAACTAAAATAAAAATGAGTATGTGTACTTTTCCAAGGACCATGTACAAACATACGTATCAGGCTATTTATAGAATGACTTAATGGCGTTTAAGTTGGACACCAAAGAAGTAGTTTGCACATAAATAATACTTTCCTATACCTTGTACTTATAATTATTCTTGTAAACGCTCAAGGACAATTTGTTGAGTTCCACTGGTTTCATTTGTGTTTTTATGTCTGTATTTTAACTGCAACATGGTTGTTTTTACCTCTATGAATTGAATAATAGACCCTTTAAACCACTGCCGTTGTAATTTTGAGCAGCATTTTAATACATTTAAACTCCCCGCTGAGGTGGTGGTTATCCATGGACTTCCCTTTCTAGTCTGCTACAGTATTTTTATAGTTTTGACATTCACTCTGGTTTTAAGCATATAATGAAATCATCTCAGTTATAGATATTTATTTTTATATGTATCCCAACTTCTTGCAGAAAGTTTTAAGACAAGGTACATAAATCCATGATGCCCAGTGACATACAATATTTTTAAAAATGAAAGAATAAAAAAAGGGAAAATGAGAAAAGATATAGTGAAAAAAGGAGTGAAGTTAGTCCACGAAACATGTGTCACAAGACCCTGTATATAGGCTAGCCCTGAGCCACAAATTGGGGTCTAAACTTTGTAGCAGCCAGAGTGTAGGGGAGGATAGGAGCAGTTAATTACATTATTCGTGATATCTAAAAAGGAAAAAGAAATCATTTTCTCTGTGAAAGCACAACTAGTCCTGAGGCCTCAAAAGTTCTTCTGTGAATTCTCATAAAAAGGCACTGGATAATTCAATGGATAACTTTTTCCTTAACATTCCTACCATAAATCTGGAAATAAATTTCATACGGTGTTTTCTTCAGATGCCCTCAATGCAGGCCTATACCATGACATCCTGTGATTCTCCAAAAACAGTTGTGATGTGTGTGTGTGTTATGTGTAAGTAGATGTATTGGCTGCTCTTGTTGTAAGTGTGTAACATATACAGCTATCCATTATTCCCATGTTGTCCAGGGATAGATTTCAAGTACCTAAGATTTTAGCTCTCAATCCTGGTTGCCTATCAGAAGCACCTGTGGAGCTTTCTAAACATGCACATGTACAGGTCTGCCTCAGAGACTTTGCAGAGTGGGATCTAGGCATCTGCCGTTTAAAACGTTTTAAGAGTGATGCTTATGTATCAAAGGGATGAGAACCATAGAGGAATAGGGTAATTGCTGTCTTTCTTGCTAGATTCTTTAATAAATACTGTTTGTCTCAGCTGAGGTTTTGAAACATGTTAAATATCAAAGAAGTGAGCTTCTGTTTCTTGAAGTCCTAGAGTGGTTGTACTATATTGTGTATGTGTGGAGGCATGTGTTTTGAATCAAGGGTGACTATACTATTAACACTCTCTTATAAAATGGAAATTTTAATAAATACATATACTCGAATGAAAAGATCATCTTATCTTTTCAAAGAGGTAGACGAAAGACGTGTTAACAGGCAGGGGCAAAAGTCACATTAACACATAAGTTTGGGTTCTTCTTTTCTTTTCTTTCCTTTCTTTTTAAATGGTTGCTGTGTGATGGAAAGCCCTGAGCCTTGCTCACTTGAGTTACCATTACTGTCCTATCCCCCCATTCCAGATAGAAATAATTATAACCATAATAGATGAGGAAATCTCAGAGCTTTCTTTTTCTAAAGTATAATAGACTAGATTTCCTGGACGACCTCTCCACCAAAAATACCTAGAAATGCTGGATAAGATAGAACAAATATCCTTTTGAATGTATAGCTTAGCTCTCAGAAAAGTAAGAGAAATTTCCACTGGACAAAAATACAAAGGAAACTAGAGGTCTCATTGGTAATTTAACCCTGACATTGCAGCTATGTTTGAGATGTCGACTGAGCTTCACTACTTGGAGGCTTGGGTTTAATTTCATTGTGGGAGAGAGGAGTTGATATCTTGGGTTTGTACACAGTGGAGTGTTAGGAGCTCACCTTTCTCTTCCCCTCCTCCCGTACCTCTTACTCTAAGCCAGGACTCTTGAAATGCCCACCAAGGGGCCATCTTAGTAGAGATACTCGCATGACAGTATGTTACATTTGGCCTTGGAATTATTTGCAGGAACTGTGGAATGAGAGCAGGGTAGCATCAGCTGTTTCTCTTCCGTGGAAGCCCTTGCAGTGGTCCTGAGGCTAGTCCAAGCGACAGGTGTGAGAGAAGGTCTCATAGGTGGGTGCAGGAGCAGTTTAATTAGAAATTGTGTCCACAGAGGGAACCAGCATCTCTTATAACAGTCCCATAGACACAGCTTCCAGATCGCCCTGAGAGATACGTCCAGTTTCAGTGGACTACATAGAAGCTGGAAACACAGCTGGCATTCCGCCTTTATTAGGTTTTCATTAAACAGAGCTAGGAAGTTATCCCAAGGTCAAATGTGTCCACAGAAAAGGAGAGAGTTTTAACCCTTTCCTCACAATACTCAAAGGGTTATCTCTCAGTGAAAGGATGGGTTAGAAAAAAAAATTCACCAACCAGGAATAGGTGACCCCAAGGAAACTTGTTCATCTCAGCCAAGGCTCAGAGGAATGTGAGAGTTCTTACTGATGATTCATTACTATAGGCTCACCTTCACATGAGTTTAAGGTTTGAAAGTACAGTATCTACATTATTCTAAGAAATTCTTAACTGGAAAAATAATTTGGTAGTCGTGGTTTAGTAGTTCCCTTGGAGCCTGTAAAAGTAAAAGCATATCGTCTGTGGTGGGAATTACTCTGAACCCAGGCTTCCTGATTCTCTCAGGTGGGCAAACATGAGCTCTCATGCATTCTGAATTATAGGGCACACAAGGAAATTCCAAACTGTGCAGAGAAACAAGCAAGCAGTCGTGAGTGAGTGTTAGCAAAAAAATAAAAAACACACACACAGGTGCCTGTTACTTAAGATATTGAAGTCATCAGACATTGCTCATAAAATAAGGCTGTTTAAAGTATTCAGAGAAATAAGAGAGAATTGGAATGATTGACAATGACGACATTCTATCACAAAAAGGTTAGAGCATCTTTGCAAAGGAGCCAAACATAACTTAATATAAAGAAAAAAACCAAAAACCCAAAGGATGCTTTACATTGAGATTAGATACAGCTGAAAAAGAGAGAAGTTAACTAGAGGATGGGTTTAAAGACATTATCCAGAATGTTGTCCTAAGAGACCTGGAAGATGTGAGAGATGAAAAGTCATGGATGGTAAAATAAGGTCTAAGATTTATTGAATCAGAGGTCAAAAGAAGAAAATAGAGTGAGTGAGAGACAGCATTTGAAGAATTAATAACTGAGAATATTCCAAGATTAATGAAAAACATGAGTTTTCAGAATCAAAGAACAATCCCAAGCAGGATAAATAAAGTGAAAACAATGTGTAGATGCATTGTAATGCAACTTGAGAAGCCAGACAATGAGAAGATCTGAAAAGCAGCCAGAGAGAAAATAATGTGACTTAGACAACGTGAGGATAACCCAGAGAGTACACAGCTCACTTGCAATGATTGGAGCCCAAAGACAGTGGAGTCAGCACAGTCAGGGTGCTGAGGGAAAATAACTGCTGACTTGTGATGTATACAGCTACCCCACTGGTTCTCAGACTTTAATGTGCATCTGAATCACCTGGAATGCTAATTATAACACAGCCTGTTGGCCCCACCCAGGATTTCTGATCCGGTGGAGCTGAAGTGGGGCATAAGATTTTGCATTTATAGTAAGTTCTCAGAAGACACTGATGCTGCCAGATTGAGGAACTCACTTTGTGAACCACTGAACTAAATTATCATTCCAAGAATGAGAATGAAATAAAGTTATTTTCAGACAAAAAACAATGAGTAAATTCATGACCTATGGACCATGACTAAAGGGACATCCAAAGGCTGTACCTTAGGAGAAAGGAAAGGAACCAAAGCGGGAGGAAGTTGGCAAGGAGGAATAGTGAACAAAGAAGTTGGTAATTACTTAAATAAATCTCAGCTAACACTGAGTGTAGGAAATAATAAAGATAACACAGAAACTAATGAAATAAAAAGATCAGAATAGAGGATATTAAGGAAAAACTGGTGGTCAAGTAGGAGTGCCCTCCAAGACGGTGCTCAGCAGCTGCTTGAGATCCTGAGCAGACCCCTCCGAATCCTGGCTTCTGCGTCCTTGTTGGCGGGAGAAGAGAGGGAGTGTCAGAACTCTGTGATACTACACCTTCAGTTTGCTCAGTTTCTCATCACGACTGTCACCAGGTTGAATTTTGTAGGCCCTGTGTTTTAATTTACTTAGTTGTCACAACATGCTCCAAACTCTTCTTTCATCTTTCCTCATGCCACCCTGTGCTCTGTGTCCCTGTGGCTTTATTGTTTACCCTCTGACACGCTGTACATGTTATTTACGCTATGTCTTGTCTTCTCCGCAAGACTGTAAGCTCCCTAAGTGCAGGAATTTTTATCTGTTTTGTTACTGCCCTGTCTCCAGGATCAAGAGGAGTATTTGACGTAAACCAGGCTCTCAGTAAGTATTTTTTTAAGGAGTAAATGAACAAATGAGTAAAACTTGAAGAGGATAAACAAAGTGAAAAATTTGGTTCATTTAAAATGATAAAGCAAACTTCTCTCAAGATCAACAAAAAGAGACGGTACAAATAATATTCAGAATAAAAAGAGAGATGTAACTACAGATACAGCAGAAATTTAAAATTATAAGAACAATTTTATGCCAGTAACTTGAAACTTAGGTGAAATTCACAATTTCCTAGAAAATGTGATTGTTGAAGACTTATTTCATATGAACTAGAAAACTAAACAGACTTATGATCATTAAAGAATGAATCAGTAAATAACAAACTACTCCTGCCTCCTCATCACACACGTGCAGGCACATACACACACACGCAAAATGGGCTCATGAGTTTTATGTGATAAATTCGACCAAACTTTTCCAGGGAGGGAGGTGAAAAAACATTCCTCAGCTGCTTTTAAAAGTTTAGTAAGGGCCAGCCCCAGTGGTCTAGTGATTAAGTTGTGTGTGCTCCACTTCGGCAGCCTGGGTTTGGTTCCCAGGCACAGACCTACACTGCTCTGTTAGCAGCCTTGCTGTTTTGGTGGCTCACATACTAAAAATAGAGGAAGAGTGGCCTGAATATTAGCTGAGGCAAATCTTTTTCAGCAAAAAAAAAAAAAAAAGTAAAATTTTAATACCCAGACTAATAAAAGAATGTAAAATGATAATCAGTTTTACTTAGAAACTTGATAACACATCTAAAAATATGTAAGGATTTTAGCTAATCCAATCCACAAGCATGAAATTCATGACACTTTAGACTTATCCCAGAAAATGATTGACTTAATAATAGGAAGCTTATTAATATAATTTATTACATCAACAGATTAAGGTATTAAAATATATTAGTCATGTTAATATATATATGCACATATTTATATATGTATATATAAAAGATATTCAGTAAGATTCACTACCTAGTCTTTATTTTAAAAAAGCTCTTAGAAAATTAGGAATAGAAGGGAATGTCATTAAATTGACAAAATGTATTTACTAAAACCCTACATCTGTCTTAATATTTAATGGTGACATGTAAGAAACATTTTCTTTAAAAGCAGAAATAACACAAGAATTTCAGCTATAATCATTTCTATTTTAATAGAAAACCTAGCTAGTATAGTAAGAAGAAAAATTAAAATTACAAGACATGGAAATAGACACAATATTGTTATTTACACATAATATGATTATATATAGGACACGTAAAAAAGACAAATTAATGAATAAATAATAAGTCTTTTAGTAAATTTGCTGGATTTGATATCAGTATACTGAAAATTATTATAGTCTATTTGTCAGCAACAAAAAGAAAGTACGGTTTTTAGAAATACCAACATCCAAACACAAATTCATGGTATATAGGAATCAATTTAAAAACTACGCAAAAACTTTATTTTTGATGGAGAAAATAATAAAACTTAAAGATGTTAAAGAAAACCTAAATAGAGAAATATGCCTTCTTCATATAATAGAAAGCTCAACATCATAAAGCTATCTCGTAAAGCTATCTCTTCTCCCGTAAATCAATGTAAAAATTCAGTGCAATTTTCAAACAAAATCCATGAATCTTGACAAGTTGTTTTCAAAATGTAAATGAGGAATAAAAGCCTAAAATTAACCAAGACAAGTTAAAGAATGACGCATGAATGATTTATGAAGCTATAGTAGTTAAGACAGTATGGTGCTTATTCAAGGGTAGACAAATAGAACAGTGGATCAGAATGGAGTGGTTAGAAAAAGCCCCAGGCCCACAAATAACCAGAAATTTGCTGCATTTCAGAGGTAGCAATACAGATTTGGGGAGTGGGGACTGGTGGGACTATTGTCTATCCGTATGTGGAGGAAAAATTTATACTTCTATTGGGGACAAAAACAGTCAGCTACCAGTAAATTAAAGACCTAAATGTTGACAGGAAAGCTATAAAGATTTTAAGATAAAATAGGGAGGTCTCATTATCATCTGAGGAAAGAATTTCTTAAGTAATTTAGCAAATACGAGATGTACAGCAAAAGACTGATTGATGTGTTTGACCCGTAACACAGTGAAAAACTAGTGCTGCAAAAGACTCCATGCATAAAGTAACAAAGCATGACAGATTGGAAGAAGACATACTATATATATAAACTAAGAAGTTATTATCCGGGATATGTGGGAAATTCCTACAAATAAAATTTTAAAATGAGCGCATGCAGTAGAAAAGTGGCAGGGTTTTCATGGGGGGCGGCGTGGAGAAGGGTAGGGAATAGGCAGTTCACGATGGTACAAACCCAAACGACAGAAAAGCCTGAAAAGATGTTCTGCCTAACAAGCAGTCAGGAAATTGCATATTAAATTCACAGTTGGATTCCATTTTACTCCCATCAGATTAGCAAAAACAAAAAACTCTTGACAGTACAGATTGTTCAAAACCTGTGACACTGAGACCATCTTTTACCACCAGTGGGAGTATCAATTTGCCAACCACAGTATAGAGAAATTCAGCAGTACCTAGTTAAGTTGCAGCTTTGATATTTTGTGAATATTTATTAATGTTGGTATGAGTGCTGATTTTCTTAAATTGCCATACTGCAGCATTGAAATGATCTTTTCTTTTAAAGTAATTTTTACGCATTTCATTGACAATAAAGCTGGCTTATTTTCCCATAGCATTCTTCCTTGATGGGGGTTGTCTTCTAATTCATTATATTCTTTGTGATTTAAAAAGATTATGCTGCTAGCTGTAAATGTGCTCTCAATATCTAAGTGGGTGTGCTTCTTGATGCCAGAGATCCTAGGAATTCTACCGCCCGTCTAAGCCCATAAAATGCTGACAGAAGCTATTTTCATCAATATAACTTTTAGATCCCTAGTGAATTTTATTAGGAAACCCAGTAATTCTTTATCACTCTTAAAGTGCTTGCCAGAAAGAGACATCCAAACTGGGAGAACCTAGAATTCTCTAATAGCTACCTCTGGGGAAAAAAGAAAAAAATTTTCGATGGCATCATGTATGTAATTCTCCCAGCAACTGATTTCCCTTTATGGTGACTTTAAAGTCAGTATCATGTTCTCAGCAGAACACATGTCAGGAGGGAATGTAAAGATGTTCTATCAGGAATCAAATATGTAAAGATGTTCTATCGGGAGTCAAATAGCTGTTCTTCCAGTTAATTGATGTTTCATCAGTAGAATCTGAATTTCCTCAATGACTGGCTTCTCTGATGAAACCTTTATAATCTCAAGCACTTTGCTCTAAACTTTTGTTATAGTGGATAGTTCTTCTGACATCTGTGTTACCTGCCTTGCTAGGTTTTGTTAATAAGGCCCACTCAGCCAGGGCATATATAGGGCTTATTGAGTATTTATTGCATCACAATAATTTAATAATTGAAATAAGTAATAAAATAAGTACTAGGAGTATCGCCCTACAATCCTTGTGACCAAGGAGGGAGACCTGGTACCTGAACTCCTCCATCTCTTTGCTCAGTGCTGCGTTCCAATTTCCTCTGTATACGTGGTTTTACAGAAGGGACACTATAAACTTTCATCCTGTTCCCGTTGTAGTAAATTCCTAGTAACTAGGGCTGATGGAAAGTGTGGCTGCGTTTGCTCATGAAAAATTCTCCTAACACAGACAAATACGACGCCAAAGAAAACAGAATTTTAGTATTTACTAAAAGAGATTCTTTTTTTTATCTGAACTGCAAGAATATTAAAAATGAGATTAAGGGGGCTGGCCCTGTGGCATGGTAGTTAAATTTGGCACACTCCACTTCAGCGGCCCAGGTCCACGGGTTTGGATCCTGGGTACAACCTACACCATTCGTCGCCCATGCTGTGGTGGCAACCCACATGTAAAGTGGAGAAAAACTGGCACACGTGTTAGCTCGGGGCTAATCTTCCTGAAGCAAAAGAAGAAGATTGGCAACAGGTGTTAGCTCAGGGCTAATCTTACTCAGCAAAAAAAAGATTAAGGAAGCTTTTAGTTATACTTAATATTATGTCATTTCCCAAGGGTAATGGGTTGAAAACTGCTGATGTGAACTTGGTGTTTCCGATTTTTTCCTCTATTTCCTCAGGCCAGATGGAGACTATATATCTTCACTTAATGGCGGAAACATTAAAGGCATTGAAGGAAATTCATCTGGACACTTACCGAAATTCTGCCATGAGTGTGGGACTAAATACCCTGTAGAGTGGGCGAAGTTCTGCTGTGAATGTGGCATTCGAAGAATGGTTCTGTGAACAAAATCCTGAGAGAAAAAGAGCTAAGTCCAGAGATTTATGACTATTGCTGCTTAGTCAGCTAGAGCACTTCCTCTAGTTATTTTCTGCTAAAATTGTTCAGAAGACTTTTTCTTAGCAATCTTTGGAGTATAATCTTTTGGCTATGTAATGTGTGTGTGTGTGTATGTATGTATGTATACTGTATATAATAAATACCTGATACCCCAAACTGTGCCATTCAAGGAAATATTCACTTATCTGTCAGAAAATAGTTTCAAGTGGAATCACTAACTTAGGTATTACTTTTCTGTCTTGTTAAAGCACAGTAAGTATACTTCCACAAACTCTCAAACTCTACTGCTTAGCCCTTTGAGCTTTAGGATGATCATTACTTTGAGCAAAAAATCAGAATAGACATTGTTATTATTGGTGTCTATTTTCAGATATCATAATAGGATGAGATGCTTGGAATTTTGGAATTGAAGAGAATATTTTTAGTTACAATTAGTTATGTGAGGTCATTTTCTTGTAGAGCTCCTCAACAAATAATTTTATAAATATCAAAAAAAAAGAAAGAAAAAAACCCCTAAGGTTTATGTTGCCTTTTACTTGGTGTATTATTATATAATTTAAAGACCTTTATGCGTTCTTTGAAAATGTAATTATGCAGTTTTCTTTTCAGATGCACAAGGCTGAAAATACAAAAGTTTCTTATTCTAGTTATGACCGAATGATTTTTTTACCTCTGTGTGTTTTGGTTGAATGTATATTCTTTCTACTTTGAATTGGGTCTCCAGATTTCACTTTTTTTCTTTTTTGATAACCTCACATCTAAAGAGGAGTTTTATTTTTTGCAGTTCAAAAATGTAATTAAAGATGCACAGAATTCCTTGCAAAATCTTTCATGTTTATTTCTATGTATCTGAATTTAGAAGAAATTATTTTAATACAAACCACCTCACCTAATAAATAGTGACTTTGGTAATTAATCATTAGTGCAGGGCATGCAGGTAAAAAGTATTTGCATCTTAGTCCCTTGAAGTATAGTGAGATGTAGTTATGAGTAGGTTAAGAGAATATCTAATTTTTCCTACTTGTATTTCCTTCTTACCGTTTAATGTTGAAACACCATTCACATCACAATAAAAAGCCACTGAAAACGCGTTGCTTTAATGCATGGCTGACTTATTATGTAATTAAACATCCACAAAAATTTAGTTATACTCTAACTTTGGTGAGAATACAGCTTTTAATCACTGTCACTTTCCGTGTAACATAGTATCCAGTAGTAGCTATCTGTCTTTGATTGCTTGTGCAGCCATATTCAGTAATTCAGTAGTAATTTCTGTTGAATCAAACCTGACAGAGCTTTGATCCTATTATAAAGGTACAAGCAAATCTTTTATACGCAATTTTTAGCTTCTTGCTTATGATTCTGATCAATTAAGGATCATTGTAGAAATTTGTGTTGTATAATTTTCTTTGAAATTTATTTATGCTTAAACTTTATAATTTTATTCATTAGTTTTTTGTTCAGGCAGGGGGAATAAACTTAGTGGTGACGGGAATTATCATTTTACTTACCTTATAGTTTCTTTCCTTATTCATCTTTTAATAAGAAAGACTTCTTACTCTTTTTTTCTGGTTGTCTTTATTTAGTCATATTGGTCAAAAAGAGAGTCCATCAATTAGAATAAACTGTAATAAATTTAGGAGAATAATGTACATATTAGATTTCCATTTCACTAATTTATGTTCTTCTGTCCTAATTGTTATAAATTATATGAAGAACTGTAAACTTTTGTTTTATCTAAACCTGAGCACTGTTTTCTTTCAAGTTTTCTTTTAAGACCACATAATTTTTTGTCTATCCAAAGAAGGGATAGATAACTGTGTTTAAATTAAATAAAGTGGCACATGTTGGTATCTCACTGAATTTTACAGTAGCAAATGAATGTTGTAATGTACTACATGGAAAATGAGTTGGTAAGAAATCATTCAATTCCAGAACCCAGAGATTATTATAAACAGTAAGTAGGTGAAGTATACTTATGAATTATGAAACATGTTGTGACAATGTATTTAAATGTATTTCTATGTTACTTGCATATAGTGTTCTCACATTGATTTGTTGTGCAATAGTTCGGTTTTAAGAAATTTTTCTAGTTCAGTGCATCATTTATTATTATTTATTTTCACAAGTATTTGCCTGTGTGGTAGAATTTAAAAAATTATTCTAAGCTTAAATTATAATGTAAAAATTGCTTGTATCTTATTCTGAAAGTTATTAGCTTAAAAAAGTAAGATTATTATGGCTGCTGTTGTCTCTTGTTCACTCTGTTTTTTTATTACAAATAATATCTTCATTTTGAACCTATTCAATAAAGACATGAATCAAAAAAATGCTAATGGGTTTTCATTGATGTCTTATCTTGTAGCCAGACATAGATAGAAAGATAGGAACGCACTGAAATAAAAGGAAAATATTTGAAGTCAAAACAGATTTCTTAATGAGAAAGCAGCTTGTCATTGGTAGTTTTTTTTGTGCCATCAGCTTTTAAAGAAATTATTACTATTTTATTGAAGTGTTTATGACCTCAAACTATTATAAGTATGTTTCATCACATTTTAAGGCATAGAAACATTCTCTTCATAACCAATAAAATTTAGCAGTTGAAAATGTTAGTGAAGTCAAGGTTGATAGGAACCATGGATATTTCTAATTAGGTAATATACAGTTTAATGGCAAAAAGTATTTGTGGTGAATCCTTAATGATTTAGACCATTATATTTAACATTTTAAACAGGAGTTGTCTCTAGTGAAAATATGATCAGATTAAACATGTTTAATTTGTACTCAATTTTCCTTAGGCTAGAGATGAACACTTCTACCATGAGTAGAAGCTCAGGGAATGAAAAAATCATAGAATAGACACCCAGCTACACAGAGTCAGCAGACTGTGGGGTCTTTATTTGCATTGCAGGTATATGTATTTTATGTGGTAAATATATTTTTAATACTAAGGTTGACTTTTCCAACTAACTGTGTTATTGAATAGAGCGGTGGAGAATCATTAAAGCAAAGTTAATGATAGCCACACTCATTTTTAGTCTCATTTAGAAACTTTTCAGTTAAATATTACTGTCAGGATACTCATTTATATACAATTTTGTTTGGCTTATCTGGGAATTGCTTTTTTGCCACTAGGGGGTGCTTTTGGATAGTTAACATTACCAGCCTCCTGTTAAAGGCCTCAGCAGTATAGGTATTTTTTTGTTTGTGTTTTTTTTTTTTGTAACATGAAATTACAGAGATTTATAAGGGAGGCAGTTTTTGTTGTTTGTTTTGATTTTGATTTTGATAATCCATATGTTGATTTCTTAAAAACCTAGTCCAGCTCATTTAGGGCACCTGTGTGGTAGTAGTTGATAGATCTATTTAGTATTTAGCTCAGAATATTTTGTTAACAAAATACTCCATCTTAGTTGTACAACAGTTTATAATATATATCCTTTAAGATAAAGATTTTTTTTCAATCATCTAGCCTAACTTAACATTATCTAACATATGAGAATGACATCTGTTTAAATAGGAGCTAAATACGTGCTTAGACCAACTAATGGAAGATGCACAAAGCTAAAAACATGTAAAAGATGCTTTATATGGTCTTTATTCCATGAAATGCTAAGAATCAAAAGAAATAAGATGTGCTGAAGTCCCTGCCCCAAAGTTGATGTAATTTGTTGGAGAAGCTGATATGTAAACAGACAATTACAACTTAGGGCAAGGAGAAGAGCGAGTTTTAATGGAACTTCTCTTTCTTACAAAGGTGCTAACAAAATGCTGCGCAAGTGTTGAAGACGGAGCTTCTCTCTCGTCACCGCAAGTTAGACCGCTGACCATTCCGTTTTCTTTTTTCCTCCCCTGTCCTGATGCTTACGAGGAATCTGGTAGAACATGAGCGAGAGCAGCACTACCTTCGCCTGGGGAAAAGGCGAGTCGCGGTGGCCAGGATGTGTGCTGGGGTCCGTCGGAGCTGTGCAGTGGGAAGGGCTTCTACTGTCCTGAGGACTGAGGACAAGCCGTGCTGAGGAAAGTTCTGATAATTCTGTCTGTTCAGTCTTGCCTCATGTAACTCTTCACCTTCACTGTGCGTTTTTCTCTCTCTGCCCAACACCTCAGTTTCTGTGCCTATTCTGAATTTTCAGCAATAAGTTTTGCAATGGGAGGTTGCCAGTAGTGCGCAGCAGTGGCGAGTAAACTCAACAACGAAATGCTGATTTTCATTCGTCAAATCTGCAATCTTAAATTAGAATAAAACTGAAAACTGCCACGGGGCTTTAAGATGAATGTCTTATCCACTGATGGCGGAGACATAAATTGATAACACTTTTTGAAAAAGTTGACTAAATTTAATTTAAAAGCCTTTAAAATATTCATGACTCGTTGCCTAGTACTTTTATTTCTAAGTGTACTTCTTGAGGAAGTAATCTCAAGTACAGACCTATTTATGCAGAACACGTTTAATAGTGCTATTTGTAGTGATAAAAATTAAGCAATTTAGTAAGTTAAAGCACTTTCAAATAATTTTTAATGGCATAACAAGGTTATGTTTCATTACTAAGACAAAAAACTAGCCTAAAATAGTGCATGTGTATAAAATATGATTCCAATTATGTAAGGATTTACACAGATAAAAGGCTCGAAATATATTCTTTAGTATATTGTGCTTATTTCTACTGGAAGAATTTTCGCTATTGTATTTTCTTTATATTTTTTATATTGTCAATTTTTAAATGAATATATATTACTTTTATAATGTTTAAAAAAATAGAGGGTTATGTTTTTCAAAATCACCTGCATGTGCTGACGGTTTATTTAAAATCACTACCTCCTCTGGGTCTCTAACGCTTACGAACGTAGAGGAGAGCCCTTGTGATCTAGTTAAGCTAATTTGTTGTTATAATATCTTTTTTGCTGAAAGTGATATCTGCCAACTCCAGTTATAATTTTAATAAGATTATTTTTCCTGAATTTCACTCTAAGGACATTCTCATATAGGTCCCCCCATCCTTTTTAACTGTTTGTCACCTATGATTTGAAGAGTCCAGGGAATACAGTGAATTTTTACTTCATAGAGCATAAAATAAAAATTAAACCTTGTCTAAATATTTAAGAGGTATTTTGCCATTCTGTTGTTGAGCTGGAGGGAAAAAATATATATGTATATGTTTGAAATATTTAGATCTATTTTCACATATTTACCTGTTATACTTATCTTTAAAACTTTAAAAAGGTTTTAAATTTATCTTCTTATTTTCTTCTACTAGTTATTTTAGTCAGGAAGAATACTTTAAGAACCAGAAAGTTTTAAAAAAAATATATTTTTATTTTTACTAATCTTCCCAAACTTACAGTCCTTATAGGGAAAACTCATTTGAACCAACCCCCACCAGAAACATTAGGAATTTTTAATTTTATTTGAAACACTAATTCCTCAAGGGTGATTCTCTTTGGAAACATGCTATTCAATTAACTATTAATTAGAAAATTTAACACAGTAGTGTTCTTTTTCAATATGTCTTGCTATAGACGTAATATCACAATGTCGTATGAGTGAGCAGCACGTGTGCTAGACTGTCCCTGTCTCCTGGTGAGGCGCTGTGTTCCCCTGGGCCTCCCTTTGGTAAACACTGATGATTCTCCCTCTTCTGTCAGTAACTCTTACTGATGCCATTACCAGAAAGGTGTTCTATGAGGAGAGGAGCTTGTCATTCATTGCCTTAGATACTTTATGATATTTTAAGTAGAAAACATTGAACAATACTAGAAATTAAATATTGCCCAAGTCATACCTAGTAGTGAAAAATTATCTTGCTCTGTTTTGAACGTAAATTCTGTTAGTATTTGTAACGGGCATTTGTTATGTTTGTGGCCAGCATATTTTGGAAATCCTCCTATGTTTGGTAAGTTTTGTGTATTGAACCCATTTCCTGAAAGTGGTAACCAGAGTCAGTCTTCCATCATTTCTAACAGCTAGGGAGCAGTCCTGTGGCCTGGGGCTACCGAACAGACCTGGATTCAGCAACAAGCAATGAGAAGCAGCAGATGCTGTGCAGTATCTGTTTTCTAGTGAGGATGGTGGAGGGACACTGAGCTTGGAAGGCAGCAGGGGCAGAGTCAAGCCGTGGCACCCTTATTGCAGGATGGGGCCTGTTCCCCATGGTGGCAGTTCCGCTGCCTGTCCCCCACTGGAGTAGCCTGTCATTATAATTTGGGCATTGTTTCTGGCTGAACAGCCACCAAACCTGATTATCTAGCTCTCCCAGAGATTCTGTGAATTACCCAGTAGCTTTTAATAAATTCCTTTTCACTTTAGCCTGGGATCTGTTATTTGTGCTCAAAAACTCTTCAGTGATAAAATTTGGTATGACCTCAAGCTTCCCTTTTATAATGGTGGTGGTAATGGGAGAAGTGCTTACGACCATACTCTACAGCAGGGAATCCTCACTATATTGAATTAAGACACCTTTCCTCATCGCAGTCACAGGCGTTAGATAATCACAAACTGAATTTTAAGAAATATGCTTTAAGTGAGTACAATTATACCTACCTGGCAGAGCTAACTTGAAGATTATTAGTAATGTATATAAAATCTTGGCCACGATGTCTGACACTTAACAGACTCTCAGTAAATGATATCAATCGTTTAGTAGTATTACATGATTTTGGATATATGTGCATCTTATATGGTCATCAAATATTTAATCCCTATTATGTGCCAGGCGGTATTCCAGGAGCAGTGGACAAAGCTGTCAAAAATCCCTGCCCTTTTGAAGTACGCATTCTAGTGGAGGAAGATTGAAAAAATGAAGATAAATTAGTAACCGTATTTTATATTAGAATGTGACGAGTGCTGGGGAGAAAAATTAAGTGGGGACGACATGGTTTGAGGGAGACAGGAGGGAGAGTTGAAGTGGGATACGATTTTAAATAGGGTGGTCGGGGATGATTTCCCTGAGAAAGTGCTGTCTGAGCGCAGGCCTGGAAGGGGGTGAGCCGCGATTGCTGAGCCTTCCTGTTTACTGCATGGATTGCCCGTTGGATTGTCCCCTGATGTTTAGTGCTTTCTGTTAGAGAGGGTTCAGTCCATTTGAAGCGAGCAGGTGGAAAAAAGGAAAAAGTATTTCATGCAGAGGTAAAAACTGCAAAGACTGAGGCGGGAGCCCAGGACCCCTGGAATAGTGTGAGCAAGGAAGAGCAGATGAGAGAATCAAGTCAGGGCACCAGCAGCCAGACTGCACGCTTGAGAGGCCGCTCAGATGGTTTTGGGTTGCTGAGAGTAAGATGGGCTTAGGAGGGGGTGACATGACCTGGCGTGAACGTGCGATCTGTATGTGTG